GGGACCCGGGATCCAGGACTGGGCGAGCGGCGCGCACAGGGGCTGGGCCATGGCAGCGGATGCCTGTCCATTGGGCCCGCGGCAGCTTTATCCCGAGCCCAAGGTGTGAAGTGGCCCCTTCCAGAACTCAGCACATCAAAGCCGGCGCGGGCCAGGAGTGGGGGCAGGGCCTGACCCTTTGAACCAAGAGCGGGAGCTCTAAGGTGCAGGACCTTGGTTCAGTCTACCCTACCTGGGCCATATTTGGGGGCCTCATAAAGACCTATCACTTGGGGTGCCCAGAGCCTTGAACCAGCCCTGCAAGTTGCAAGAACCATGCTCAGAGAACTGAAGTCCAGCTCCTAGGTTTAGGATATGGCTTCCTATATTAGGGACCCTACACAATTTTTTCCATCAAAGTGTATAACAAGAGATTCCTGGATTGCATTGACCGACTGTGGACCAGGATAGGAACCTCTAGGCATGGAGAGAACTGCAGCCCATTTCTCAGAAGCTTGGTGGTGGCCTGTAGCCCTTCGTTGATGTCCAGGTTGTGGGAGGCACAATGAAGAAGTTATCCCAACTATTGAGGTTGCTGGGCTGTCTCAGCAGGGGAATAGGTGAGCCTGCCACCCTCCACTACAAGTCATTCCTAGTTTTGACAAGATGAGGAGCTTGGTCCATTTTCCCGTCTCTCCTGTGACTAGTGTTTGACAAAACTCAACAACCCTGTGGTGGCACACTTGGGAGGCAGCGACAGGAGGATCAGGGTCAGTCTTAGCTATATGTAGCCCAGGCTAACTTGGGCTACATGTGATCCTGTCTCAAAAAAAAAAAAAAAAAAAACCATGACAGTCTTGCAATCTCACTATTTCATGGGATGCTACCTGTTGGGTTCTTATAGATGCCTCTTATTTTCTAAGATTTATTATTTTACACACACACATATATATGCACCCATCTGTGCCGGTGCCCACAGAGACCTGAGGTGTCACATTCCTCAGGACCTGGAGTTATAGGCAATTGTGAGCTGCCTTGGGTGGCTTCTGGATACTGAACCTTGGGTTCTCGTCAAGAGCAACATGTGGTCTTAACTGCTGAGCTGTCTCTCTAGTGCCTGCCCCTTGAAACAGGTTCTCATGTAGCCCAGGCTAGTCTTGAACTTCCTATAACCCAACTGTCCTTTAACTCCTGATCCTCCTGCCTCAGCTCAGTGCTGGAACTGCAGTTGTGAGTGAGCTGCCATGCCTGGCTATCGAGGATGTCTGCTCTCACCACACCTGTTTAATGGATGGAGGGTCTTGGTTGGGCAATAAAGAAAAATAAATACAAGTTGAAGAGAAATAAAAAATCGTCCCTACTTACATACAACATGCTGACTCACAGTCTCAAGAAGTTGGGTATAGGACACATGCCTGGAATCCCAGCACTTGAGAAATGAAGAGGATCAGGAGTTGGGGCAAGCCTTGCCAACAAAGTGCATCTGAAGCTATCCTAAGCGACATGACTGTCTCAAAACAACAACAACAAAAACCTAGTATAGGGTACGGGGTATGGCTCAGTTGGTAGAGCCTAGCCTTCAGGAAGCCCTGGAGTGGCAGTGGCTTATGACTTCAGTACTGGGGAGTAAAGACGGAAAGATCAAAAGATCAAATTCATCTTCAGTCTAGATACGAGGCTCAGTAGTTAAGAGTACTGACTGCTTAGCTGGGTGGTGGAGGTGCACACCTGTAATCCCAGCACTTGGAAGGCAAAGTTAGGTGATTCTCTGTGACTTCCAGGACAACCAAGGCCACACAGAGAAAACCTGTTGCAAACAAACAAATAATACTGGCTGTTCTTCTGGAAGACCCAGGTTTGATTCCCAGCACCTACATGGTGTCTGTAACTATAGTTTCAAGGGATTGCTCTCTTCTGGCCTCTGGGCAGTACACGTGCAAGTAGCACACAAAATACATGCAGGTGCTCATACACACAGAAAACTGAAAAATATTCTTAACTACATAGTGAGTTTGAGGCATATCTCAAAAGGCCCTCAGTCTGATGGGCGGATCTGGGATCAGTGGGCTGAGGGGCTGAGACAGGAGAACCACAAAGCCCCATTAGGCTGCAGAGTAAGTTCAAGGCCAGCATGGACAACTTAGTGACTCTATCTCAAAATAAAAATAGGGCTGGTAGAGTACTTGCTTAGCATGCACCAGGCAAAGTATCTGCTGAGCCCCTCAGGCATGAGTGAGTTTATGTAGTTGACCTAGTGCATAGTTATGGCTACTGTCTCCTCTCCAGCCACGCTGGTAAGTACCTGGTGTTTGGCATCACATCTGTATCCCTTCTTCAGAGGAATGGCACCTCATATCTTCCAGGGGGCCCCATATGTCTTCTAGAAGGGTGATGGTTTGTAGCAGTGAAGGCCCCATGGATTGGTACCTGATCCTCTGGGCATCTCTGCCTACTCCCATCCCTTTGTCCTTTGCCTCCTCAAACACTTCTCTGTCCTTCCCTCTGCCTTCTGTTAGAAGGTACATGCCCACAGTCACACCCCAAGAAGTAAAACTCATCTCTACTGGGGAGTGGAGAAGTGGAGCCCAGGCTGTGAACTTGTTTGTGTGTCTGTCCCAGAAGGTCCCTTCTCTGCCTGCCACTGTCCATAGGCCCCATCCCTCCTGAGCTGTGGCAAACGAATGCCTTCCTGGCCACTCCCCCCCTCCCGGATCTGAACAAGAACCTCGAGCTCCAAGACTGTGCCTCTTGGTTGACACTAGAACAAGCAGCTAGGGATGCGCTGTATGCTGGGGCAGGGTGGGAGTGTACATGATAGGCCCCCACAGGCAGGAGGGGTGAGAACACCTGAGTGTCCCAAACATCAATTCCTATGTGGTCATGATTTTATAGTATAGCCAATGCTGGGGCAGGGTGGGAGTGTACATGATAGGCCCCCACAGGCAGGAGGAGTGAGAACACCTGAGTGTCCCAAACACCAATTCCTATGTGGTCATGATTTTATAGTATAGCCCAAAATTGAGAAAACTCACTGCAGGACCTTAGTTTGAAAATACAGTAGATGCATGTACTTTAAAATGAAAAGGTGCCCAGGTCCAGAGGGCACAGCCAATGCCCTGACGAGCCGGCTTCTGAGATGATTCTACCTGCCTGCTCAGATCAGACTGGCATTGCTTCTTGTTAACAGCGCTTTGAAGTGAAGTCTATTTTATTAAGTACAAAGCTAGTCAGACACGTTTGAACAAGGGAGGGGTGGGGGACGCCACACGTTTGTTGAAGACTCAACACTTAAGAAGCCTCAGATCTGAAACCTGATTGTTAATATTAAGCACGCAGAGGGATCCGGACAGGAGAGGGACACGGTGAGTGGAGCAGGATAAGATGGGGGTGTCAGAGATGAGGGGACGTTTAAAAGGCCCAGGGTTAGTGAGGCGGTGAAGCAGACAGACACAAGGACTTCATGAAAGGCGGGGCAGATGGCAGGTCCTGTCTCAACCCCATGCCCGAAGTCTTGAGTCCTAATACTAATTCATTAAAGTGCCACGTGGACTCCCTCTCTCCCCTGCTCCCCCCCATTGTCCCTGTGTTCTCTGGGAAACAACCTCAGGGGCCCAGCTGGTGCAAGGGCAGTCAGAGCCTCCTGCTTCCCTCTGCCCCTTTGATCTCCTTATCTGGCCACTGTCTTCAGTGGGTTCATTGGGAGCTGCTTTGAGTTAATGAGTTCTCCAGGCTGCACTGGCACATACAGCCTCCCCGCTGGGCCAAGTCCTTCACACTTTGGGGCTTGTGTTTTGACAAGTGCCAGAGCCAGTGGCTTCTGCTCCCCTGGCCCGAGCCTCCCCTGGTTGCCAATGTGTAAAGCTGGGAAATGAGGCCTTGCCACCACCCCACCAAAACAGAGGTGAAAGTTCAAGCCTCAACTGGGCAGGGGGGCAGGCAGGATGGGGAAGGGAGGCTTTC